AAAGGTGGAAGAAACGCGCGCGCGCTAACCGTGTTGCACCGTGTAGAGTTGAGTAATGGGAGAGGCAGGCCAGGCCCAGGCGCTCACGGGGCGGCATTGACGCCCGGCAGGTAGGCAGCGCGAGGCGCGCCCGTGGGGCGGGCGGCCTACCCCGCGCTGTGCGGGCGCCCGGGCGAGCGCCTCTCAATGCGGGCGAGCACCCAGCAAACCACGAGAACTTAACACACACAAAAAAACGGTATTATGCAGGCTGCACCCGCGGAGATATCTATGAGATTATTCTTTTTTTCAAAAGCAACTCTTCACGCTGCCACATTTTAAGCAGAAAATGACAACGCGGGATCCGCAAAGACTGACGGGCGCGTGGCGTGGCGTGGCGGGGGGCCGCACCCCTTGAAACATAACGCGCGCGAAGATGAGGGCGATAAAACCTGTTGTGCAAACCTCGTCAAGAGTTGACGTCTGAGCGGCCGCGCGCCCCAAATGCCAGATGACAATCTCTCTCTGCGGGAAAGTTGCGTCTGTCACGCAGCAGGAGCCGCCGCCACCGCCACCGCCACCCTCTGGCAGCCCTTCCGCCCTTCCCGTCCATCCGTCCCCGCCCCTTCCCCCGCGCAGGGCTTTGGACTCCCCTCCTCTCGGGCCCGGCTCCAGGCCCTCCACCGCGTGCGGGCACTTGAGGGTCGACATTCATAAGGGGAGACAACTACCTGGCAGACCGTCGGAACAGCCTCGCTCTCTCTCTACACACACACTCACACACACACACACACACACACACAGCACGATGCTTTCCCGCACATGGGCCGGCGCGTAGGCTGACTGACGCACACGCACGTTCGCACACACGCACACACACACACACTGAGAAGAGAGTGCGGTCACTGGCCTCATAACCCCAGGAGCAGCTCCCCCAGCCGCCAAGCGCCGCGCTTTACTGAAGGCGATGGTGACCGTCCACTCGGCCGCGGGGCGGGGCGGGGGCGCAAGGGAGGCACGTTATTGAGTTAGCCCGGTGGGCCGGCCACGACCCCTCGCATATACTGCACGCCGTCGTCGCCTACAAGAGAAGCACGATTGAGTAAACGTGTGTCAAAAATAAATTCATCGTATATAGTGTTGCGGTTTTTGGTACGTTGTTTTTTTTTACACAGAGTTTCCTATATTTTGGTGGGTTCGAACGAGGTCAGTCTGTTATGGCCGACAAAAAACACGTAACGAGACGTCGTGTGTTAAAAGAGCAAAAGCGGCCGAGGGGAGCGAGGGAGGCAGGAAATACGTAGCGAGAGTGGCGCGGGTGGGGTTTGGGTGGGATGGGCGGGGTGGGACGCCACATGGTGTCCCAGGGCATTAGGTGGTCAGCTGGCGTGTCGCCGATTGCGGGCCGCAGCGGAGGAGCCCCCAGCGGGACCCAGCGCTAGCGCCCTATCCCGAGGCCACTGCGCTTTTCCGTTTGGGAGAAGCGCCGTCACACATGCCAAGCGGTGCCTGGGGGCGCCTGCCGGGTACAGTCGGAGTATGGTACCCTATATATGGGGCAGGCAGCTCGAGGAGCATAGGTGAGAGTAGGCTGCCTACCCATAGAACTGCCAACACCATACGGCGCCTGCGGAGTCGGGAGTAGGCAATACGACGGGCACTGGTGTGAGTGAGCTGCCTACCCATAGCCCTGCCAACACCATACGGCGCCTGCGGAGTCGGGAGTAGGCAATACGACGGGCACTGGTGTGAGTGAGCTGCCTGCCCATAGCCCTGCCAACACCATACGGCGCCTGCTGAGTCGGGAGTAGGCAATACGACGTGCGCTGGTGCAAGCGGGCTGCCTACCCAGCGCCCCCTGGACGGGCACACAAGGTGAGCCGGTCCATTATCAGCTCTGCGATACCCGCTCTCGGCGATCCGATACCGAAACACCGAACCCGTGCGTAACAATGGACAAAGGGCCAACGTGACTGTGTTGCGCAGCTTTTGTTTGAGACGTGGCGGAGCGTGGCGTGGCGGGGCGCCCACACACAGCTGCTTCAACCGAGCCCGGCCGCGCTGCCGAGGGCCCTCGATTAGCACGCTATACGCCGAGTAGATTGAGTGGCAACACCGACGGTAGATTTCTCTCTCACTCCAGCACTCAACTCGCACCACCACCTACCCTCCTCCTTCACCGACAGGGCGCGCTGCTGGCGGCGCATCGAACGGGTTAAACATAAACGACCCAATCACGTAGCTCTATCAGGTATTCAACACGCGCGCCGCGCTGCTCTCCGGACTCCCCCACCCCACTCCTCCTCGGGGGGCGGGGGCGCTAAGTATGGGGCTGAGGTCCTGTCCAGGGCGGCTGCTGGGCCGGGAAAGAGAGAAGAAAAAAGAAAAAAGTAGGGGGGGGGGGGGGGGGGTCGTGGTCGTGGTGTGACTCAGCTTGGTTCATCTCGACCAATTCCCACCTCCTCCACGGCCGCTTGCCGCTGCCGGTAACTCGCAGCCGCGATGTGTCGCAGTGCGGCGTTAGCACAAGCGGCGGGCGTCAAAGAGAGCCTCAACACCAGGCGTCAGGACACACAGCAAACGCTGCTTGAGTAAGGTTTCATGCTCGAA